GAGGTGGGGGTAAAGGGAGAGTCTGTTTAAAAAAAAAAAAAAAAAAAAAAAAAAAAATTAAACTGGGAATCCAAGTGTAGTGGCTCATGCCTGTTTCAGCCATTGGAAGGTTAAAGTAGGATGCTTACTGCCAATTTGATGCCTTCCTGGGCTAGGGGGTGAAAAAAAAGGGAACTGGAGAGGGCTCAGTAGTTTAAAGTACTGGCTCTTCTTACAGAAGACTCAAGTTCAAATCCAAGCACCTATATGGTGGCTAACAACCATCCATCCCGTAACTCCAGTTCCAGGGGAATCTGACACCTTCTGTCTTCCACAGGCATTACATGACATGGTATACCTACATGCATGCAGGCATAACACTGGTACACATAAAATAAAAAAATAAATAAAAACGGGCTGGAGAAGGCCCAGTTGTTATAACCACTGACTACTTTTGCAGAGGATCAAGATTCATTTTCCAACACCCACAACTGTCCTTAACCCCAGTTCCAGGGGATGTTAAATTCCAGTTACGTTCCAGTCCTCACATGCAAAGCAGTCATACTTATAAAATAAAAATTAGTAAATTTAAAAATTTTTTTAAGTTGAAGCCAGGTGTAGTGGCACACACCTCTAGTCCCAGCACTTGGGAGGTGGAGGCAGGCAAGTCTCTGTGAGTTCAAGGCCAGCCTGGTCTACAGAGAGACCATGCCTCAAAAAGACCAAAAAGAAAAAAATTAAGTTGAGCTGGGAAATTTAAAAATATTTATAACTAATAAATGCATTACACATTAACAATATTTTTAGTTAAAGACACATTTTCCAATAGGAAAACCAGTTTAGTAAGAAAAAGAACATTGTTTTCTTCAGAGCCTTCAGGGTTCTCTCACTCGCATATTTGTTTCTACTTTTAGCTTGTTATATCATGTGCCAGGTACCCTCTAGAAAATGCTATGTACTTGGAAGAGAACAAAAGCTTTAAAAGTGACTAGGGAGGAGAGATGGCTCAGCAGTCAAGAGCACTGGCTGGGGGACCCAGGTTCGGTTCCCAGCACTCATATAGTGGCTTACAACTGTCTATCTGTAACTCCAGTTCTGGCCTCTGCAGGCATTGCACAACATTGGGTGTACTTACATTGCAGGCACAATACTTGTACACATAAAAATAAATTTTTAGCAAATTTAAAAGTGAACAACTGGTCAATATTCTCAAGATAGTTTTGACCTCATATATGTAACATCCTCAAAGTACACCCATCGGGGATCCTGCCTGGACCATACTTTAATAACTGCTATAAGAATAATTTGAATATGCTGTTTCTGAGCCCTTTGCTTTAAAGTAATTGGATAAAGTTACATTGGTTGAATGATTTTCTTAAATACGTTGATATTACATTTCTTTGTACTTGCTTTTGAGTGAGCATTGTTCTGCTTCTAATCCCTTGTCTTGTAAGGTTGTTCCTCAAAGGTAGCTAATATTTGATTGTGTTCAGTATAGTATACTTCAGTGTAGGAAAACATGTGAGATTGGCCTGCTTTATTCTTGTGTAGAGTTGCTTATTAAAAAGTGTAAGTGAGCTCTAGTAAAGGAAATAATGTTTTGTAATATTTTCTGCTTCTGTATTACTATGCTAGTACAATCATGATCCCTCTTCGTAACAAGATCTTATTCTTAGGGACAATAGAAGCATAATGGAAAGTATTCTCAGCCCAGTGACATTTCCTTCTTCCCAGCAGTATCTGGAAAGTAGGAAAAGACTTTGTGAATAAAGTGGGCCTTGAACTAAGTTTTGAAAGTAAAATTAGAATAGAGGAAAACATAGTGATTAGATGTCCTGGATAGATCGGAGAAGTTGGGACATGAACATGAAAGCAGAATTCATTCAAGGACAAGTCAAATATGAAACCTCTCTTCTTTCATGGTTCATTTAATCTAGGATTAAAAGGACTATATTGTAATTTTTTAAATCGCAAAGTATATTCAGCATGTGTCTTATACAGAGAAGTTTTGATAATTTTTCTGCAGTGGAGAACTGTGTAAAAGGGTTTACTAAATCATAAAGTAGAAAGTTGTAAGCAATTTCAGTTTACATTCTTCTGTTTTGAGTTATTTGTAGATAATTTTAGTTTTCAGAGTGTTACTGACTGACCTTTATTTTACTTCACTAAGTTGACAGAAGCTAAGGTAATACTGATAAATCTTGGATTTTTGTAGAAATTTGGGATTCCTTTGCATGCTGTTGCAGCTTTATAAGGTTCACTTTTAGGTTTGCTAGACTAGAATACACCTTCTCTTTGCCTGTTGTGGCCCTCAAAAGCATCCTGCATAGATGATAGAATGTACCATGGCTATTTGCTGTAAGTGCATTCTTCGCACTACAGCATGAAAAGCTTGCCATTTTAATTAGAAGTAAATGTTTTCTTTGCTAAAATAGACTTTTTAAACAGACTGCTTTCATATTAAAATATAAGGTTTGCAAAAGTGAGAAAATTGGGCTTTTGCTTCTTAGGGAATGAGGTGCATGTGAAACGCAGACCACATTTTTATCACTGCAATAAAAAGAGACTTTTCTAAACTGGCCATTTACCACATAAGCTATTTTTGTAACATTTCTGTCTGTTTATTTTCCAGTTTTTTTAATCCAACTCAATGAACTAAAACCAGAAGATTTTTTTTTTTTTAATGAAGTAATTTAAAGATTGACTTTCTCCCTGTACTCCCCTCCTAGCTTCTCTGCTCACCTCGCATCTGCCACTCTCACCCTTCAGTGTTCTCTCCATTGTCGGGAGATTTCTACAGCTTCAGCATCTGGATCAGCCTTGTTACCTAGATTTCCTCAGCCATCTCTTCATTCAGATCTCATCCCACTCATCATTTTCAGTTGGCCTTTATTTTGTTTTAGGCTTGCAATTAGGTGCTTTAATTTTCCTACCATACTGTTGCTCACAAGACTTTGGGTTTTATTTTTTAAGAAAGAATTTTGAAGTAAGACTTACCAAATTGTTATAAATGCTTTTAGATTTAATTAGTTGAGTAACATTTTAATCCATACTGAAGTTGTTTTTTTTTTTTTTCTTTTTTAACTTAAGAACCATTTTAGAAATTATAAGTTTTTTTCAAATAGAGCTAGTATTATATACTAGGTTTTAGTTTTGGGTTGTGAGTTTTCTCATTGGTACATTGTGTCTTTTGCTTATCCAAGTGAGTTCAAGGCCAGTTGAAGGAATTGTGAACTCAATGACAGGCTAAGTTGAAACGCTAATGTAGAAGATCAATGAACTCTTTACTGAATAAACATCTTTGACACCTAATTTTGATGTATCTAGACTTTTGTTTGTCTGAACTGTAATGTAAAGACGTAAGACTATGTTTGGGGTAAGAATCCACATTGGAATGCTGAATTTCTTCTTTTTTGCAGAGAATACATATTGGCAAGTTGAGAGTTATCAGCCTGTGAAACAGTATGCAGATTTGTGTCTTCTACTGTATCACAACTGCTAAAATTTTAATTTTAATATTCCTGTTTTTTTCTTTTGCTTAATCTAATAGCTCCATGTTTTGCATTTCCTAAGTAATACAATGATCAATAATGCTATCCGTGTTTATTAGCTTAAATTCATTTGTGGTAGAGATGGTGTCACCTCCCCTTCCTTCCGATGTCTCCTTAAACCTCTTTTTCTTGCTCTTGTCCATATTTCCTTTTTCTGACACCATCTTTTTGCCTTACTGAGCTTTCCTAACATGGTTTATTTGGACCAGAGAGGCGTTTCTTTAAAGTAATGGTTTTCCTTAGACTGAGTGAAAGGAACAACAAAACAAAACAAAACATTATTAGCTTTGTATGAGAATTCAATGAAGAGTTTTTAAATATTTTCTCATGAATCACATTGACCCAACTATTTTCTGTTACAGACATGCATTAATGGCCTAATTGTGTTTTTGCTTGGTACAGACACTACCATTTGGAACAGAATCAATTTAAAATGTGAAACATATTTATAAATGTACATAAAAATCTTTTTCTGTACAAAATACAGTGTCCTTCAAGAGGGTTTATTTACAGGCATTTCTAATAGGAGAATGCATTCTGATGGTGAACATTCTCTACTTGAGATAAATTATTCTAGAAGAACATAGAACCCTCCCACATAGAACTTGTTTTCTTGAATTATTGATTAGAAACTAAGTTTTTCTTTACATTTTTTGGTGAGGTGCCGTTTATAGCAACTAGGATATTTTCTAACCCTTCCGATACCACATTTCTAATCCTTAACAGATGCAAGGTTTACTCTTTACATTGTTTATAGTGCATTTGTAGCAACCCAAGTTTAAGAAAACTGGGAAAGAATTTGTCATTTTTATTCTGTTTTCATTGCATGTCTACATATTGAAGGAAAAGTCTAGAAACCTGTCATTGGGCATGAAGACATGAGTTTAGTGTACTCTTTTTAAATATAATTTTGTGATCGACATTTGATTTCTGATTGCCCAAAAATAGTATTCCAAAAACGTTACTCATACAGCACCATCTTTTTATTAACTTCGCTAAACTGTCAGCCTTGTTTGGAAAAACTGCATTACTTCTTAAAACAGAGTGGGAAACCAAAAATAGCCTGCATGTGTTTCATTTTTAATTCCTTATGGGGGGAAGGGGAATCACAGTTGCCACAGTAAAAGAATACTGCATGTGAAAAAGGATTCAAGGATAAAAATTAATACCAGATTAAAAGGATTAAAGTCATTTTGAACCTTTATGAAATTTGTATCTTTAAAAAAATAAAGTATTTCTGAATCATTAAGTTGTACATAAAACTTTATTTTTGTTTTTCTAGGTAGTTGGCAAAAAAGGAGAAAGCCACTAAGGTAGAAAAGACACTGGAAGACATTGCATTCAGATTTGCAGCTCCTGGATAATTGCTTGATTCTCTCCAGAAACTGTTAATGTTTCATTTATTGCCATTACCAATAAATCATTGCTTTTGTTCAGATGGTATCACTAGTGTTTCTATTGTGATCTTGATACATGCAATTGTAAATAAAAATCACTACTTTTGCCAAGCTTAAATTTTGTCATTCTCTGTAAGTGCTTTCTCGTGTGTGTGTGTGTGTGTGTGTGTGTGTGTGTGTGTGTGTGTGTAGGTCAACTTCTGATTTTAGAAGAGTTGTATCTGGTAGCAGCTCTCTATAGAGGAACAGAAATGTTGCTGAATTAGGAGTATATGTCTACACACATGAGGTATTTTGATAAGTGGTTAGCTATTCAAAATAGCTAACCATGTACAAGTCAATACTGACTTGTATTTTACTAAAAGACATTTGAATACCTAGGTTGTATATAAATTACTGAATTCTAAACTGTCAGATATAAAAAGGTTCAATGAGATTCAGTTACTCTTACCTACCATTGGTAGTTAATCAGTCTACAAATACTTTTCTGTTTTGGGGAAGAGAGTCTTGCCATGTAGCTTAGGCTGACCTTAAACTTGAGACCCTGCTGTCTCTGCCTCCCAGATGCTGGGATCATAGACAGGTGTCATCATACCTGTATACAAATTATTTCTCATGCTAAATTTTAATCCTTTCTGTATAAACTTTAAAATTGGAGTCAGCCATTTTCTTTAATAATATAGGAGTACTGAATTTAGACATTTCAGAAAAATACAATAATTCATGAACAATTAGAGTTAATTCTATTTTATTTTTATTTTTTCTTTGAGACAGAATCTCACTGTGCAATCCTGGCTGTCCTGGAACTCACTGTGTGGACTAGGCTGACCTTGCACTTGTAGAAATCTCCTGTCTCTAGCTCCCAGGGCTGGGATTAAAGTTCTAGTATTAAAGAGGGGTGTAGCCACACCCAGCTAGAATTATTATCTTTAATATTTGCTATCTAGATTCACCTAAGCATGCCAACTAAATATAGAGAGAATGTGATTTAAGGTTGAAAAGGAACCAAATATTAATGTTTAAAAGATCTCTCACAAAAGGATAGCTAAACAAAATATCTGTTCTTAATTGCTTTTTTTTGAGTTTCAAAATTGTACTTTTAAGTACAATTCAACAACGTATATGGCAATAAATTGTGACGCATTTAATAAGTTGAGGGTATCCTTATCTACAAATAGGGCAGAGATACTGTTTGCCCTTTGGGTACTAATATATTTGTACATGATTATGAAAAAAATTATGTGGAAGTTTCAGTGTTAGTAGTCCTTTTCTAAAACCTGTGTCATGGGTAATGTTCAGTTCTTTTGTATGTGTGCACATTAACTCTTCTGCAATGGTGTTTGTATTTTCTGTATTTCGGTTTTGTTGACTTGGTACAAATGGAGGGCAAAAAAATAAAAGTTTGTAATACTCATAATATAGACCATCTGAGATTAATCACACTCGAAATGGAAGATAAGATTAGCATCAGGAGTTTGGATTTATACTTCTCCCCTTTATCCTTTTTGAAGAACTTTAAGTGTCTCATCTCAAGTGTAGACGTTCTCATCCTATTTCTATTTGACTACTTGAAAACTTAAAAGTAGCTTCATATTTGCTAAGGCTTAAACATCAGATTTATATTCTTTTTCTGACTTCTGTAACTTGGTTGCAACAGGCATTCTAATTATTCAAGTTATAAATAGTGAAAAATGTTAGGAGACATGTATTTCACTTATTTACTATGAAAGATAAATATATGTAATTGACCTTTAAAATATCCAGCCAGAAATGCTGTTTTCTAATAGCCTAAAATAGTACATCTGTGCATACAAATAACATTACATGTAACTTTTCTAGAATAAGAAAACGTTTGAAGATGTAACCCTAGTTATTTTAATCTCAATCATCCATTAGTACTTTCTAGAAAACTAATATGAAGCTTAGTCTTAGTATTTTGTGAGACATAGTCGCAAGAGAATCTTTTGTCAGACAGAAAAAGATCTTGTATTTCACTGTCTGATGAGATACAGTAGTGAAATACTCTGGACAAAAGTGTTGCGGTAGGAAAGCTTTGTCAGTTAGAGCCTAGGAAGAATAGTGCTGGCTACCACACACTTATCTTCATAGCGACCCTTTGTAAGCCCATTTTGACTGCCATCAATTGCCAAATTGTCTCCTCTCAATACTTGGTAGTGTTGTATGGAGACAGCCACTTAGCAGTTTGTTAGGGGTTGATTATGTGAGCTGGAAGCTGCCAGCCACATTTAGCTCAGTGTTTAAGGACAGTATACTATGCTTTTGTAGTGTTCACAGTTTTTGCTTTTAGTGTATATTTGATATCAGCATTGCATTTATGTAACATTTTATGTTGAGAGTCTTTAAAATGTTTAAATAAGATCTTCAATTTCTAAAATCTGTAATAGCTACAAAGTGTTCGGCATGTAAATTAGTCACCATCTCTAACTTTAAAAAGATGAAAGATTTAGGGCTTATGTTGCTTATATTGATATTTATATAGATCAGTTTGATGTATTAACTTCTGTAGATATTTGTCTTCTGGAATTTGTCATTTCTAATCTTAGATATTTTTTAAAGAAAATTAAAATCAATTTTAATAACCGTCTGAGTAATGGTCAGCCTACTAAGGTCACACCCCTAAAGAAAATTATTGCTTCCTCCCATAGCACCTACCAGTTGTCAATCGCTCCTCGGCTAGCTTTGGAGACTCATGGCTCCTCCCAACCCATGCTGCAGTGGTGACTGACTTGATCTTATGCAAGCAAACAGCTACTGTGAGTTCATGAGTGTAGTGGTCCTGTCATGTCCAGAGGACACTGTTTTGTCCCAGTCTTCCCCCAACCTCTGGCTCTTAGAATCAGTCTGCCCTCTTCTGTGGTGTTCCATGCTAGGCCATCCTTTTTTGCCCAGTACAGTGCAGGGACCTTCTGATCGCCTTCTGGCCTCTGATCGGGCTTTTCTAATGTGTCTTCCATATGGTTCCTGGCTGTCCTTTATGAGTGTTTCAGAATGTGGTCCCTGCTTTGTCAGCCTCTACTCATCACTCATTTCCTTTACTTGTCACGTGGTCACACTAGTAGCAACCAGAATGTGCCTTGACATTTTTTTGTCTTCCTTAAACTAACATGGCCATTAAGACAAATTTCTACTTAATCTACAAGGCGCAATCCAAGGAAAACTGATAAAAGGAATTGTATGTGCCTCTTTTGCTGCCCATACATTCATCCCATACTGACGTTTTATCCAACTGTAATTAGACCTACATGCAGTACTAGATCATACAAGGGCTTTGTACATGTAGGTACATGTATCACATGCATGCCTACTGCCCAGGGAGGCCAGAAGAGGGTATCATCCCCTAGAACTGGAGTTACAGATAGTTGTTAGCCACCATGTAGGTGCTAGGAACTGAACTCTAGTTCTCTGCAAGGGCAGCAAGTACTCTTAATTGCTGAGCCATCTTTCCAGCCCCTGAAACGTACTTCTTGATTCTGTCATTAAACACCAATGTTGAACAAGTTCTCAGGTTCCAAGAGGAGACACTAGAGATGTATTTGAGATCTAAAGGAAAAGTGCATGAGATTGCTCGTACAGGTGTGAGAGAAGATAAAGTTTGAGGTGCAAGAAATATTAATACAGGCACTTATCCATGTAGAAGAGATTAGACTAATTTTTTTGGAGTAGCAGGGATGATCATGATGGCTCACAACTTTCTTTTACAGTTGAGTGGAGAAATGGTTCTTAGGGGAAGCAGCAGTTTTGGAAGGGAAGAAAATACTGTCTTGAGCAATGCACGTTTTGGGGATTCAGGTGAAATCTTGTAGGTACGCAGGCAGGAATATGATTTGGGAGTTTAGGGTTAGAAGTAAGGAACTGTTATTTAGAGGATGAAAGTTTAAATAAGTTTGTTAATGGGAACTTGTGAAGAAGATACAATGAAAAAGCAAATGCTGGGGAATACAGATAGTAAGGGATTGGCAGAAGGAGGGGCCTTAAAGCAGGATAGTAAACATGGAGGAACAGAGGTGATAAAGGGGCCTGGTTACAAGTACGGTAGAATATTGGTGTGGCCAAGGATGTCCATTTGTTGACCCATTTTTGCAAAAAATTTTCTAATACGAATCATCTAATAAAGCCTTTGGGCAATAGAATTTACAAGTTTTTAATCTATAAGTGAACATAGTTTTACAGGGTGGTTAGCAAGTCTTGGAAACTGGTGGCAATATTAGGTAAGGGACTATAAGACTGTTGAGGGTGTCATTTAAAGCTTTAGTCTTCTAGCCAGGTATGTTACAGGGGTTTTTCCCCCTCCTGTATTTTGTTTGTAATAATAAAATTTTCCCTACCTGTTAGAATACTGATGGGGTTCTCTGAAAAGCATCTAATTTCACAGAGATGATCCTTCTAGACTTCTGGATGGGCCATTTAGGTTTTGTTGACTAAAGTTTCTAATTTCATATGACAGGTGCCAATGCATTAGTGATGAAACCTGCCCTTCCAGGTTTTTTTTTTTTTTTTTTTTCCAGAGAGGAGAAAGAGAGAACTCTATATTCTCCCTGTGACCAAGGAGAATAGAAATAGTGTCAATGTCATTTCCTTGACCATATAATTCTCTTAAAGGCAGTTGACATTAAAATCAAGTAACAAAGTGGACAGGGAGCATGGACATAAATACATCTGCCCAGTGAAACCACTGGGGCAGGCTGGATATCCATATTTTGGCTTGAGTTTTTAATATTAAAAAAAAAATCTGTAGTTAAGTTCCTCCCCTCTTGGTACTAGGGATCAAATATAGCTCCTCATACACACTGGGCAAATGCTCAATCTGAACTGCCTCCTTAGCAAAAAGTTCTTTACGTGCATTTTATGTAATTGGGTTTTCCCT